AGGTATTGAGGCAGGAAGGGTGAGCAATGCAGGTAAACTCTACGAACCAAATCAGAACCAAAACGGCTGGGTAAGGCCAAGATTTGGCTTTGCCTTGTTAAGGTCAAGAAACAAACTGGCACTGGCCCAAAATGCACTGACAGAGAAATCGAGGGGCAGTAACTTGCTCATTTCAGAAAGGAAAAATGCAGGGTTTTGACATGGACAGGGTAAGTTTAGCTATAATGGCAAACACTACTGACATGTTGCTGCAATTTCATAGGAAGATGCACCAAATGCGAGGCAAGACAGATTGGTTTTGAAAGATGCATCATAGTTGAAGTGTAGAAATGGAGATGACTGATCCATAACTGTGTACGTGGAAGTGGCACTGCAGCTCAAGCCTTAAGTATCCATGAATGCAAGCGACTGGACATCATAAGTTTCTAGGTTTCCAGCTCACAGATTTGTTGGTTTTCAGCAAAGACAAGAAATGTTAAAAAAATTAACATTTTTTCACTCACCTAAAAGGAAAGGGTAAAGCCATCGCATGAACTTAACTGGTATGAATCCCATTATCTAAAAATGCTGGTACCGATCCTCACATGATTATAGTGTTTCCAAACCAGTTGTACAGAATATTGGTGTTCATGTTAGATTGACTGAACTGAATTTATGTTTGTCAAAGACAACAAATGTGAAGAAAACACACAATTCATAGAATGGAGAATGGAGAGTAACACAGGTCATGGTGGCAAAAACCAATGAGCTATATAGCAGAGATACAGAAGACAGCTGCAATAATGCATGTTCAGCTAATTGTTTCAGCACAAGCCCAACGCATGAACTGAATGTACTAATGTAATCTGGAAACACAAAACCGTGGTATAACAAAAAGTGATACCGGCTACTTAGCTACAACAAGGCTAGGGGTGGCATAAGAGACGCCAACAACACAGTCCAAAATATCCTCTGAAGCATAATATTTCATAATATCAGCTCACCTTAGCACACCACATGTTCAGGAAGAAGCTGGGCATGTATTCACACCATCCTTGCAATCACGCGTAAGCTCATTGAACGTCTCCACATGCCTCTTCCCCCTCAAGAATACCTCAGTGTCAACTGCAACCCTCATGTAACCATCAAATTCTACTGGCTTACCATTGCTCAGCACCTTAGTTTCAGTGAACCACTCACTATTCTCATCCCACAGGTACTTGAAATCATCGAGGAAGTGTGTTTTATACTTTTCCTTAAGTGGGTCAAAGAACGATTTGTCAGGCTCATTGGTAGCAATGTACAAATACCGGCCAGCACCAACCTTATCATTAAGTGACATAAGGAGACTGTCTGGCGAGGTATCTCTATCAAGGTTTGGCCAAAGTTGTGTGTTCTGCGCTTTCTCCCCTCTGACAACATGGACCGAGTCGAAGTCCCAGTTCATCCGTGAGGCAATGGCAGATACAATCTCCATCAAGCGACGAGATTTCCACAGGAAATGCCATGGGCGCTTGATTACTCCCTCAGTCTCACCCTCGCACACACGTGACCAATAGTTATCAGGCTCAACACTCCCAAACTTCCTCATGATCAGTGTGTCCTTGACGTCACAAAGTTTCATTGGGGTCATCCTGATGTCTTCAGTATAGAAGTTCTTGAGCCTATCTTTCTTGTGCCACTTTCCCCAATCTTGCCAGAACTGGCTCTGGTCGATCACCGACGCTGATTCCTTCAAATGCTCAAAATCAAAGTAGAGCCTGAAATCTCTATCTTCATCCTTGCCACTCGAAGTATACCGTGCATTGAGGCAGACATTCAAGTCCATGACAAGAGTCCGGTTCAAGAACTGTGCCTCACCAAGCGCACACAAGAACCCCCAAATGAAATGGTTCATGCTCTTGCACCTCTCGCCACCACCGATGTAAATGAGGTACTTTCCACGGCTGAAATCGGACTCAGAAGCAACCACTGGCAAGCTGTCATTGACAGCCTCACCAACAACAAACACCGGCTCCGCTGCAGCCCCAGCAGCCTCATTGTTGGCAGTGTTCTCGTCCAGCCTAATCTGTGTCTTAGCCGGCACGAAGTCGGTCACAGGTACATCCTGCTTCCCCTTCTTCCCTTTCTTCCCCTTGCGCCGTCCGTTGCGCTTGGCACCCACACCCGAGTGGTACTCACCCACGGTGTCGACCACGAGGGTGCAGGTGTTGACGTCGCGGGTGAGCGTGAACCGGCGGTAGTCCTTGTAGTATGTGGTCCGGCCGGTGCCGATGGCGTCGGCAGCGGGGCGGAAGCGCCAGGCGAGATCACACTCCATGGGACTCCCCGGCACCGCCACAGGACGGCCGAAGCGGTAGAAGTGGAGGTCGGGGAACCGCTCGATGGCCGCGCGCATGAGCAGGTTGAAGAGTTCCCTGTCCCCCGTGCAGTCCACGGGCGCCTCCGTGTCGCAGGAAACCGCCTCCGCAACGGCGGCTTCCTCCGCCACCGCCGCACCCTCGCCCGTGGCGGCATCAGTGTCGACGGTGACGGCCCGCTCCGTCTCGGGCTCCGTCTTCTCGGCCTCGGCGCCAACTTCGGAGAGCTTGATGAACGGGACGGCCTCCGCAACGACTTCGACACCCCCAGCGGCGGCCTCGCCGGCGGCGCCGGTGGACGAGGAGTTGAAGTCCTCCCCGGTGCGCAGCACGGAGTCGTCGGTGAGGAAGGTGGAGGTGGATGTGGAGGAGGTGAGGAAATCGGTGAGCTGGTGCGAGGACGGGTGGAGGAGCGGATCGTCGGGGCTGTGCACCGCCGCGAGGAGCGTGAATGCGAGCACGGCCGCCACGAAGAGCGCGAAGAGGAGGTTGCCCCCCGACCGCAGCGCGGTGCGCAGGTCTGGCACCCCGCCGCGCCACCGCGGCGCGGACAGTGCCGCCGCCCGCCCCAGCATTCGCGCGGATCTGGGTTCGGATTGGTCGTGTAGTGGGGGAATGGGAGTGAGGCGGGGAGGGATCTGGCTGGATGGGGCGGGCGGACGCCGACAGGCGACAAGGCGACAGGACGCGAGCGAGGGGTCGTGGAGGTCACTCCTCTGTTGTTTTTTCCTGGGCAGTGGGCACGCGGCCGCCGGCAGCGGTAGCTTAACGGAGTTGCAACATTTCTGGATCGGCCAGCCGGCCCGTTGACTGCTGCGGATTGCGGCCCAGGGGTTTCGGTCTGTTCTTCGGGGTCTGACGGGCTACGTTGGGCCTGGGTTATGCATGGAACTTTTCTATTGCGCCATTTTTTTTTTGACGAAATGCCATAAGATGAGGTTTATTGATTCATGAGAATAGTTACATCTTTTACAAGATCTTCTAAAATAAAGCTTGGGGTCCATCAATCCAAATATACAATTAGTTTCAAACTAAAAGCTCGTCTATCTAACTCATGCGCTACTCGATCTGCATCCCTTTTGACAGTGTTCAATGAAGATATCACTGAAGTCCCTCCACAACGAATAGCTTTCATCATAAATCGCAGCCACCGAAGTCGCCGAAAATCCTCCGTTCTCCATGGTTTCAACCACCAATAAACAATCTGATTGAACGGAGAACGATTACTCTGTTGGCACCAGTATGCTGAGCTAAAAACCGGTCGTCCTTAAGCGCATACACCTCCACCATATGTGCATCTGCTACATGGGAGAAGAAATTGTTCAACGCTGCCACAATATCTCCTCCACAATCTCTGACGATCAAACCTGTGGCACCTCCGCTAGTCACCGGATAAAGGACGCATCCACATTAACCATAAGTTTTCCTTTTGGTGGCTTGGCTCAACCTTTCCACGCGTTTACACCTTTCTGCATTGACAGCATATAATTGGTTGAAATCGCTGCAATAGCCTAAGTTGATTGATGTGCCCTCTGAACGTTCTCTCCATGAGCTATCTGTCTTCTTTCCCACAACAGATACCAGCTACCTGTAATAATTAGTTCTGCAAATCCCACACCATTTAGATTCTTAATAGATCCCCCACATCGAATTACTTCTTCTAGCAATATAGAGTCTGACTGTCAACCCTCAGAATGTTTTCAATCTTTCTCCATAGTCCTAGATGCATCCCCACTTCTTTTGGTCTCACAACAAATTAGTTTCAGTCAGCTTATCAGCCGCAGAAACCATCAGCAGAACAGCTCTGTCGCACACAGAAACATCGTACGCTTGATATCCTCACACCCTGCCAAGCAAACTGGGCAACTCCCGACATTTTGTAATATGTCTGTTTGTTAGTATCGCCTCGCAAGGAATGACCCCATGGAGAATTCTCCATCCAAAAATTTTATTTTTTTGCTGGAATCTTCAACTCCCAAAGTTTCTTCCATACCTGATCATCTCTAGCGTCGCTTGCATTCGCTGCCACCTGGTCCCTGCCGAACTTGTGTACCCATCGGCAATGATATGCTGATCTAACCTAGAATAATCCATTTCGGTTGTCGCTGCACCCATGCGGGTGTGTGGCTTGCTTTCCACCTCTCTTAAAAACTCACCACATGACAATAGTCATCTATTTAAGTCGAGTCGATATTGTGTCAATTTCATGCAAGAATTTTCTTATTTCACTAGCATTTAGTATGAGCCATGGAATCTATGTGATTTAAAGTTAGACTAAGTCTAATTAAATTCAACAAAAATAACTAGCTCATTAACATTGACACAAGCGCTACGCAATAAATTGTACGTCCGTTACAATGCACCGTCATGCTTGCTAATAATTAATTAAATGGGAGATTTATAACTATAGATTTTCTAGGTGTAGAAAAAATTATTCAGAGCGTAGGTGGACATCACGGGACGGATCGGAGATTCGGAGTTAACTGTGCCACCAGCTCGTCACTCCTCATGTCATCGTCTTTGTCAAGTTGGCTCGACCTACCGAAACTGGTCAATTGCCAAGCCGCCTCTGACGAGAGCCGTGACGTCCGAGCACCTGCGACAACCTGTATAAAGTAGGGCCGACCATGCCGACGGCAACAAGACACTGAGCAACTCGCCATGGCAGCAGCGTCCACCACGACGCCGCTCGACGGCCGCGTCGCGCTCGTCACCGGCGGGTCTCGGGGCATCGGCCGCGAGGTGTCCTCCCACCTCGCCGCGCTCGGCGCACGCGTCGTGGTCAACTACGCCTCCAACCCGGCCAAGGCCGAGGAGCTCGTCGCAGAGCTCGCCTCGCGCGGTCTCCGCGCCGTGGCCGTCCGCGCGGACGTCTCCGACCCGGCCGCCGTGCGCGCGCTCTTCGACCGCGCCGAGGAGGCCTTCGGGTCCCCGCCCCACATAGTGGTGGCCTGCGCGGGCATCATGGACGCCAAGTACCCCGCGCTGGCCGACACCGCCGTCGAGGACTTCGACGCCACGTTTGCGGTGAACACGCGCGGCAAGTTCCTGGTGTGCCGGGAGGCCGCCCGGCGCATCCCTCCCAACAGCGGTGGGCGCATCGTGACGTTCTCATCGTCCACGGTTGCCGTGCTGCCGCCAGGTTACGCGGCGTACGCGGCGTCCAACGCCGCCGTGGAGGCCATGACGAGGATCCTGGCCAAGGAGGTGGCGGCGAAGGGGATCACGGCCAATGTGGTGGCGCCGGGCCCTGTGCGCACGGAGCTTTTCCTTGCCGGGAAGGATGAGGCGTTCCTAGAGAGGGTGAAAAAACCATTGGGCGTATAGCCGAGACGACAGAAATCGCGCCCGTAGTGGCGTTCCTGGCGAGCGAGGCCTCGTCCTGGGTGAACGGTCAGGTTATCAGGGTCAATGGGGGCGTCGCGTGAGTGCGCCGCTTGCTGAAAATTGACGGTGTTTATCTCATTATCTGCCACGGCTTTTCCAACGATGTTGGTACGCTGGCATGTGTCAGTATCAGTATGCGTCATTCATGGTATTTTGTATAGTCTGGTTCCATAGTACCATGGTATAAATATTCAGCGGTGCCATGTATTTCTCGACACGTCTATCTATATGTGACTGAGTAAAAAGTTGTTCGTCTCGCTCTCCATAAAAAAAAAAATAGTCTTCAGTTCTCAGCTGTACACTTCTACAGCTGTTTGGGAAAAACGTCATAGCAAACGATTATGCTGACAACAGGCAGGCAATCACCTTCGCCTGTTATCATCATCCGCGCCTTCGTCGAACACACCAGATGAGCCGACACGGAAGTCGAGCTGCTTCTGATGTTTCTGCCTCCGCCGCTCGTCGAACTCCTCCCACCCCTCCACCTGTTTGGGAATTGGAACAGGTCAAATTGAGAATGACACTGGAAAATGCCTCTATCAGAGCCCAAGGCCAAACTTATGCAGCCAAATTAATCAGCTATACGCAAGTGCTGTACTTGTCTAAAAAAGGAATAATAAATATATAAAAAGTGCATATCTACTAGGCCACCGCGAACAAATGGTGATATTAGACACATAAATATAGGGTGTAACCATACAGAGCAGATCGCAATACGGCAATGAAGGTAACAAAGTAGTATCGATACTAACAAAGTGTGAAGGGAAAATATGAACATGCACGGGCAGGCATGCAGACTCTTGAGGAAATGGTACCTGTCGAAGAACATCATTTGTGATTTCTGTGCCATGGAGATCGAGTGTAATAAGCTGCGAGCATTTTTTGAATAACGTTGCTGGCAAGGAAGTAAGGCCATTGTTCCGTATATGCAAAACCTGTTGAATAAATTTGTTTCATATAAAGAATGTTACACACTGGTAGTATGTTCCTTGTATGCAAAAACTGTTGAATAAATTTGTTTCATATAAAGAATGTTACACACTGGTCGCTAATGTACAACTGTAAATAAAAAAATGAGAACAAATTTGTGCCAAAAAAAAAAAGACAAATAAATATTACCCTCAACAAATATTATAGAAGAGCCAGAAGCAGCATGATAGTTTTGTCAAGTTAAACTAAACTGGTCCACTAATAGGTGTTAATGAAATAATAGTATTCAAGAAGAACTGACTCTTTGTGGCTGTCCCAAGTCGGCAGGACGTAAACCCAAAGTTCCATGCATGATATACTGAGAAACAAAGAAAATAGCTCCTTTTTTTTCATAAGACCACAAAACTGCATGCTTAAGTTTTGTTGCACACTATTGAATCTCATACATCTTGTAGTTCTGCAGCTATGGACTGGACTAATAACTCTGTATTCATTCATACACCTTCTATGTCAAAATTGTTGCAATTGGACAATGAATATTTTGTGGTACCATCCATACTGTGAAAACCATTGCTATCTCACAGTGAGACATTCGGAATTTTAACAAATTATTAAGATAACATAATATGCTAATTCAGCACTTCATTTGCTGTAAGTGATGATATATCAATATACCATCTTAGCAATTTTATGTTTTGATCACAAATGCACCTTTCATGCATCTAAAAGCACACACCTTAAGACTACAAAGGTTCCCAAAGGCCTCTGGCAGTTCAGTTAAGAGATTTGATGACAGGTCAACCTGAAAATTTCAAAAATCAGGTTCAATACAGAGTGCTCTACAAGAATATATGAGGCAGAAGCAGGTCATATGTGAGAGACAGCACACCTCAGTGAGAGATTCACAATCTCCTATTGATGAAGGCAATAAAGTTATCCTGCTAACAAGTGTAAACGAGTCAAATGTGACATTCACCATAACATCTAAGTTTTAATTCCTTAACAAAACAGTACTAGTATAGTTTTCATAAGAAGTAACAGAAAAAGCATTTCTTCTCCCAATAACAACTTTTTTCTATGATAGAATAGAACTAGTAACAACCTACTAGTGTTTGCACATTACTAACTATGAAGTGCACTTGAAAACAGAAACTGACTAAGGTCTTTGACTTTTTCTGGGCTGCAAATGTACTCTTTGGGTTACATAAATATAATAAAGTTGTATTAAAAATAGAATCAGCACTATATAATTATAGCTGTCAGCAGTCTCAATGTCAACTCGTAAGACATTGATCTATCAAACCATCCAGACATGGTTCTTTTCAACCCTCAACATGATTGACAAACAGTCAATCTCAAATGGGAACACATCAGTAACATCGCATCACTCTTCATCTGAAGCATTCCTTTACAAGTATGTAGAATAAACAAAATTACAAAATCAGAATTCAGTTATGATTATAAATATGTAAAAGTATGACAAAACAAATAAGGTACTGCAAGCCAAAAATGATGAGTTCTGGCACAAACCTATTATTACTTGCTATGAGAATCTGGAGGTGCTTTCAGCTGTCCTATTTCTATAGGCAAGTTATCAAGCCTGTTCTTTGCAACACGTAGTTCACGTAGAGAAGTCAGCAAGCCCAAAGTTGATGGCAAGCTAACCAGTCTGCAAGATAAAGAAGAAAGTGGATGATCACATTATCTTATTTTCATAAAAAAGGGCAGATCCAGTGCCGGAGGCTCCCACATGAGTGGGGGTCTGGGGAAGACATTATCTTATTTTCATGTATAACAAAAACATGCATATCAGTCATCATGCCTAATAACACTAAGAAGATAAGAGATACTGTATTCTAATTAGAACTATGAAATATCCCATTTTTGTACCAATGTGATACTTTACAAGTTTACATACATCTTGGTGGCAGGAGTCAACTGCAAAATTTTCTATTCAACATGTTGACAGAAATATAGGTGAAAAACAATGCGGTCATGAGGTTTAGTTGCTCAATAGGATAATTCAACTATCCCATTTAACTGAAAAAATCATGAATACGTATAGGTATCTTCAGAGAACTAATGTAGATGTTTAGCACAATAATCTGCACTGCACCCGATTAACCACTCAGATGCATCTCCTGCCTGAAGGATTCCACCACACACTAAAGAAAAAGTTAGAAGCCAAGATTTAGTATGCATTCTCTCTTATACTTCTACATATGGCATGTTTCAGCTTTCTGTCAGCTATTGGTTGATTATAGACCAATACCTAGCTGCTAGCTCGCAGAGCAAAAGTTTGAGAATATAAAGAACAAAAAACAGTTTTGGAGAACACAGCTATAAACATTGTTTTATATCCACTGGCAACATCACAGAATATTCATAGTACTACTATGAATAACAGTAACGGGATAAGAGTTTCAGAATAGGACATACCGGTTTTCGCTTAAAGATAAATTCAATAACTTTTGAAGACATGATAGACCTTCCCAGCAGATGCTATCATCAGTTATATCATTAGCAGTTAGGAGCAATTTCTGCAATATAAAATTAAGTCATGTACGCACAATTATAGTTCCTTATGGAAGGAGAAAATAACCCAATTCACTCGGCGGGAAAGAATAATTACATTTAGAGATTTAAGAGCAGAGATTTTGTATGGAATTTCCTTGACACTGTTGTTGCTGATGTCTAGTATTCGTATCGAGGGGCCACAATCCCAGACTTCTTCAGGCACTACCTATAGAGAAGACACCCACAAAGATTAAGTCTAACTTTGTTCAAAGGGACTTGGTATAGGAAAATAACCAAGTGATAACAAATCAATATCATTGAATCAATAACCAAGTGATAACAAATCAATATCATCGAATGTTTGGTGATAAAACTGTAGGCACCAAACTGAGATGCCATAACTAATTCAGTATATAGTTTATGGGTACAGATCATTGTGTCAATCATGACCAGAAATCTACAAAAGGATCCTTGCAAAATTAGTGTTAGACATTTTCTTCTAGGGTCTGTTTGCAAATTGTAATAAAGGCGGTAATAAAGCATATAATGGTATTTCTTCATGACCAATATGCTGAGAGCACTTCCATTGGCCATGGGTAGATTTGTAGATTTCACAAATTCAAATCACAATTATCCTATGCCGGCATGCATCAACAGGACCTTCATAAAAGTGATTCAAACAAATCGGAATAAGATACCTTCAAGTCACAATCATTCAGCGCAACAACACCTGTTAACTTCCAGCGCTCAGATCGGCTTTTGGTGACAACTGCCTCTGGTTTTTGTGTTTGATTTTCCTTAACATTTGAAGGCCTTTTTATAGTTGTTGCTGAGCTACTGCTATTCTTTGTGATAGGTCCATCCTGTTTAAGAGTAGACAACGAAAGCAGATTCAGTAAACACTCCACATTCAATGGTGAAATTAAGCAAGTTACCCTATTGTCTATGGAACACTTGCCAAGTAACAAGGAGCAACTGAAATTTTCCTCCCTGCACTTCCAGGTACCAGCACAGCTCACCCGTAAAAAATCGAACTTATGCACACGCTCATGGACATCCTACTCCAACAAACTCAATGCTAAATATCTGAACTAACTAACAGAAAGATCACAGCAAAGCAGCACAGATATGGGGAATTAGGACAGATCGAGGTCACTGATGCCGTACCCCCTGATGAAGCCCCTGCGACGCGATGAGCATGACCTTGGATCCGTCCACAACTTGCATCGAGCTCAGGCTTGCGGCATCCTGGAGCACTTTGCCTGCGACCACGAGGGAGTGAGGCTTGGCTACTATGGGAACGAATCCGCGGACTCAAGAGGTAACAAGGGTTTGGGGATCGGTGCCTTTGCAGATGAGCCTCTGGCCGCGCGGGAGGACATTGGTGAGCGGCTGGAGGAGGCGCTTCAGCTCCGCGCCGGAGGCCGCGGCCGGGACCTCCACGGGGATGGTCCGCCCGGCGAACTTGACCTGGACGGTGATGGTGGTAGGTG